AAATGAGTGCCACTTTATCGGAAGTAATCTACTGCTTAATTACTGTGAAAAAAAGTATTTGTTATTATCGACACCCAAATCCGAACTCATTATGAAAGGAATTAACTATGAACAGCAGATTAGTGGGCTACACTTGAAACTCCAGTATCTCAACTTAATTATTTAGCTGAGATTTTCAAACAATGTTGCTCAGAGTAACGCTCGGTAATAGGCTTTTTCAATTCACGCGGCGATAATACCCACTTACAATACATCGCTACAAAATAATCATAATACTTATCTCAACAGTATAAAATACTTAACTGAATTTTGATTTGTTTATTAAGATTTAAACGATCAGCTAGCTTATCGTAGAGCTAGGACTACTTTTTTAAATTACCTACTATATTATTTTTTATTAGAATAATATCTGGTTCATTGAAAGTCCCTCCTCACTGTAACCTAATGATTCCATCAGCGAGTGTTTACGCCATAGTCACTACAACATCCTAATTATTACCGTATAACTGAATATCGACATTCAAGTACGTCCAATACGTCAATAGGTTGATAATTTTTAATTAGAAATTTTGATTAAACGACAACATTCTGGATATCGACGGCTTATCTAAAGCAAACAAGTTACGTCTTACATTTAGACGTTTTAAAAGTCAGCTAATTCTAAAGATTCAAATCTTGAAAGAAAATAACTCCACAAAATGACGTTACCACAGAAGTTATACTTCGTTGACTTTCTCTAGCGATGTGACCTTCAGTTTGACCGGCACAAAGTAGAAAAGAACAGCACTAGGTCAGAAAAGAAAGGAGACAACTCTCGACCAAACTCTTAACAGATGAGGAGCTTATAATCCATACAGTACTGCACGGAAAAATTCACCATTTTATCCACTACAATTGCATTGCTCAAATGTTATTGGTACCATTTACTAGTGAAAATATCAACGAGATGTTTGTTTATATTTGAAGATATATTAACGGCTTTTACGCTTGTTTTCGACTCACACTACTATTCATGATTGAACAAAATTTTTGGCAAGTATGTTTAATGAACAAGAGTAGAGAGTCTAAGGAGTTTTTTGCCAGCGCGCATCCAAGACATTGGAAGGGGCACATCGCTAGAGAATGTAAATGAAGTATATAATTATAATAAACCTATACCTACCTAGATACGCAGAACCGCAATACCTACGTATAAGAGCATTACTATGTAATAACTAGTTGAACGTTGAGCTGGTCTAAATTTGGACGGTTGGACCTAACCCCTTGGTACATAGCATTCTATGTGGGCTATTCAAGAAAGCCTTTCCCACCTTAACCTAACTTAAAGCTACTTACGTTACAACCATAAATGAAAATTGAATATTATAATAAAGCGATGTAATAATTACAATGCATTTGTATATTGGATCAATATGCAAGTAGCTACGACATTGTAAAGTGTTTTGGTAGGTATTGCGACTAATATGGGTACTTGTTGCGGCAGTTTTTAAGCGTATGTCTGTGTGTACGTATGTTCGGAATTATTTTTTGTCTCGAATATCTCAAGAAGAAAAAATAATATTGATATGAGACCAATTGCATAATCACGCCAGTTAAAACTAATTAGGTTTTCAGCAAAACTAGTCCAGCCATTTATGTGGTGCATTAAAAAACTTCAGTCTAGCTCAATTTTGCAATTTATAAATTGTAGTATTTATTAATGCAGAATCCAAACATCTTTTCAGTAATATTTTTATTATTGCTTGTTAGGAAGTTTTGTATAAAAAAATAATAAGAAACGTATACGTACATTTATATAGGAATGATATAACAATAATAAAAATAGTGATAAATAAAATATGACATTTTTATTATTTCTATTGGGAAGTTAGTCATGTGGACCACCCGATTCGCACAAACCACACTTTTCTTACTACTTTTATCCAAAATCGAATAATGAATTTAATTTGTTTAGTTTAAATTGTTTGTATATTATTAAAAACCAGAAAATTTTCAATAACTTTTTAGGCGGTTTAAAAATTTTATTTTTGAGGTTTTTTATTCTTAGAAAACAATTAACTGAATTATTCATAAGGCATGTTTTTTACTTAAGTCTGCCTTTTTATGGGTGTAATAAAGGTATTGTTTAATTCAAATTTCTGTAACTATTTATTATAAGTATATGTAGGAACACCAACTAAAATTGTGAGATAAAAAAGATTTTTCCTTATTCCTTTAAAATTACCAACATAATTTCCAACACAAAAGTAAACCCAAACCACAACCATCGCTGTATTTCTCTCTAACGATATTTTAATTTGAGCGCGTGACTATACAATATTTTTAAATTCGCGATGACCAACAATGTAGTACTTTGTCTAAAAGGTATGTACGCAGCAAAAATAAAACGTACACGTTAAAGAAGAGCATGTAGATTTTAATCATATTTCTGAAATGATCTGATAATAATAGTAGATAACTAATTTAAATAAGTGAAATAATTGAAATAACTTCAAGCGCACTTATAAATACATTTATCTAGGTTCTAGATCTAAATCAATAACTTGAATCAAATTTACTCACAGAGGACTCGGATTGGTTAAATGTAAGGGTAATGGGAAAATCCTGGAATTTCTGATTGGGGGATCATTTGTTTATCCTTTTACAAAAGTTTGCAAGGATATTATCAGGATATATGCGAGAAAGTAAAATAGAAACATACTTAACCACGATTTTTCCTTTAGTTTTGTGATATTGATTTAAGTACAAATTCGATAAATTCTGGAAAACATTTTCCTGGTATATCTAATTGTTTCGGACACACCGTAGATGCAATTAAGTTGACACGAATAATAATTCTAGTCGTGAATGGATCCTTTTTGTAGTTAGTATTAAACAGCCACCCCCACATGTATCACGTTCCCAGGCCAGGGGTGAAATCGATCCACGCGCGAGGGGAGGCGCACCATTGGACACCTATGTCTCCTCCTCCGACTAAATACTTCTGATTGGCCGGCCTAAGAGCACCACGAGAGGCCATCCACTAGAGGGTTGCTCTTCAGCAATACTTTTCACTAGTGGTGCTCCAGATTTCGAGTAAAATCGCGTGCCACGGCACTTGAAGAAGTCCTCAATTCGAACGAAACGCCGCTCCGGTCGCTATCTTTTTGTACAAAAACGCAATTCGAACATCAATATCATTCTAATTAAAAGTGATTTTAAGCGCAATTTCCCATTTTATTTTGAAAACCTAAACATGTTTTATTAAACCCGTATTATAGAAAAATGTGAACTATTAGTTTATGAGCAGTATTGTGCGAAAGGATAATCTGAATTTTCGCAAAAGATTGGTACTAATTGTATCAAAACGGTGGCTGAAGACGGCAAGCCTCGGACAGAGGCTACGAAAAGTGAAAATACGATGCCTACGCCGGGGGTTTCTACACCCTTTTTGGCCTGGCCACCTCTGCTTCTGCACCCATGGGCACCAGCTCTACTGCCTGGTGCTTGGTGTTCTTCTGCAGCAGCCCTAAGGTCAGTTGTGGAACCTTTCCGCTCTTGTTGCATTTATTTGAAAAACATTTTACATCAAACTCTAAACTCTATTGAACTATTTTACTCTGTTCAACTTTTATTTTTTATTTTTTGACGTTTTACTGACAAATATTTTCGATATAAAACAAGATTTTTATTATTGTTCTTATTAATTATTTACTTTGGTCTTACGTAAATCGAAACAATAGCAACAGTCGTAATCTGATTCAAAAAATCATGTACATACCGACGTACGTATTTCTCTTGTCGACAAACGATTATTTTTTATTTTCTTTTCCTTTAATGATAATTTCTTATCTCGGCCCGCTATCAACGAAAAACTCCTCCTCTTTTATGTTTTACTTATCGTTACAAAAATTCTAATCATGCGTATCGACATTTCCATCAGCAAATTGATATAAATTTATTTATTAAAAATATTTTTAATGATTTACAAAGGTAAATAATTGCGCAGTTTTCTTGCAATTTTCGATAAGAAATTGCTGTTTAATTCCATTCGAAATTATAGTAAGAGATTACACAAAAAATATAAAAACAAAAGTTATTAATTAAAGTATAGATTAATCAGTTCAAATGCCCCTTATTCTTATTACCTTGTTTTTATGAAGAGCATGTTCTTATTCTTTTAATACAATAGTTACCACCTGTAGTAAATACTTATAATGTTTTAAGTACCGTGCTGTCGATTTAAGCAGGCAGAACAAATAGGTAACTAACGAAAATGAATGAATATTTCACTGCACTTGTCCTGCAGAATGTCATTTAGTTGAAATCTTTCGGAACCAACGAAAGTCACGTTCCGGTCCTTTAAAAAGGTCTGAAATACGTGTTACTACAAGTGGTCGGAAGTATCGATTTGTATGGTAAACTATAGAAACCTAAAGTACCTAGGTATATCTACCTGTTAAATTGCACCTTCTTATGACAATGGTTATTTTGAGAAAACGACGGCCTTTCGGCACAGTACCTTCCATCCAGAATGACAATCCTGAACTAAATGTCTTCTTCACGGCATATTTTATATGTTATACTTTATTTTGAATGGATATTGAACAGTTGTGAAAATGATATTTATTTTAGAAAACAGAGAATACGAATACCTTTTAGACAAAGATTATTATCTATAACAGTCACTGCAAAAAAGTGGTGATACCACTTCAATTTAAATTTATTACAAATTTATTAATGTCATTCAATCTTTTCTCATTAGTTACATTAGATCTTAAGGTAGAAATCGCAAACAGCACATGACAAAAATTGTAGAAAGTACATTTGCCAAAAATAACAATTTCATTAATCTTCCAGTTTGTGGATTTGGTATTACAGCGTTAACCCAGTTGCAAATTCTCATACAGAGAATTAAGCCTTTCTTATATACTTTCTTTCTTCCTATTTCATTGTTTCTATGAGTTTCGCATTCGCCATTTCCTTATTTCGGTTACTAATATTATTTGTGTTTGTTGCAGGCTGTTAGACAGCATGAAAGCAAATGGACAGGGTGTCCATCAGCGTCAACCCGCCGGATTTGCCATCAGCGATATCCTGGAACTCAACGACAGGACTCCAGGTTTAGAAGCACCCCCTGAGGCAGCGTTATACCCGCCTTTATCGGAGCTTAGTCCGTCTCATACGCTCCTTCTACCTCCACCTCCCAGACATTGGCCGCAACCACCCCCAACGGAGCAAATAGGTAGTTTTTTAAATTCATACTTTTCACTCCCCATCTAAATAATTTCAATTCCTTCATTACGCATTTTATGCACTTACTTTTTAATATTTAAGGAAACTATTAGACATTCACATTCACATATAAAACCTATAACAATGTCTTTATATGTGGCCTTAATAGTTAAGTCTTTAGCTCATCATACGTTTGTGAGATTTCGTGTAACAAAAACCAAACTAGCAATCTGTCTATATTATATCCGAAAACATAAGAAAGTTTCGACAATGGCGGGTTGACAAATGATCTAGGGGCAGATGCGTGTTCATCTCACCGGTGTGTTAATAGAATAATAAGGGCGCAAACAGCTGCCACATCGCTTAGTTTTGCCACTATATATCTATACGTTACCACAGCTACCGGTGATCCTGCAGAAGGCGTGATCTTCGTTCTCGTGCAGGACCCCGTTTCCAAGCCAATCCCTGCGGTTAGCGTAGCCCTAATTTATACTTTAACGGGACGTGTCTAATGTGCATGGGATACAACGAAGGGCTCGATAACGGTAACGCTGTATATGTGGACAATGCGTTTTCACTTCGATACACTCTTTAGTTTAACTAAATCGATTCGTCAACTTTATTTATCGATCTCTATTATTTATTGAACGTAGATATATAAACTTTCATGGGATTGGAGTAAAATGGATCGTAAAAAGATTATTACCACCTTATTCTTCAGTGACTCAGGGGAGAAGCATCCAAGACTATACACTTTTCTATTTTAATAAAATCGTAGTCTCTTTAAAAAATCCTTTACAAAAATACGGTAATTTAACCAAAACCGGGAAATGTGTAATGTATTAGGTGGTTAGTTACTTATGAATACCCAAAATTACAAAAATTTTAAATAAGTTAGATTTATTTTTATGTAGTAAGTATTTGTTTTGTAAGCAGCCTAATTACTGCACTACACACCACTCACAAGAGAAGCTGCACTATTTCCCGAATAGTTAAATCAGTCTCTCTCATGCCACCGTTTCATCCCGTAATGGTCAAAAAGCAAATATTTTAATATTTTTAATTATTACATTTGTTGTGAATGAAAAATGAGAATCATAAATAATTCTATCAGTAGGTCACTTTTATATAGTTATTATAGGTATTACGTCATTAGTCAAAATACAATCCCGGTTTCACAAGAATTCTAAATATGATGAGAAATAAAAATCATTTATTCATCACTAGTTTCTTCTTCTGAAAGAATGATATATTCGCTGTTTGCAGTATTATTATTACGATCATTTATGTGCTGCAAAAAAAAAACTTCACACTTAAGTATTATATTCACTTTGTATTGTTAGGAATTATAACAAAATTTATATTATTCATTACGACGATGTTGCGTAAAATACATTAAATGTGGTAATGCAGGCTATTTTTATCTCTCAAAAGAAATCTTCAAAGTAATTTACAATTAATTTCTTTCACATAAACCCGGGAACAGTTGCTCTATGTTTAATAATTGCCATTAAAAATATTAAAAACACCGAAAGAAGTTTGTTGAATACTTTTACTTACTGGCTCTTTCACGAACTTAAAAAAATATCATGAACAATCATTGGCAGGATCATCATAATTTTTTTTAAATATCCCTTAATTTCTCTTGTACTTTCTCATCATATGGAAGTGACATGAAATGACACCTTCATTTTCCAATTTTTATTTTGAATGAACACTTAAAAATACAAACCTCCACAAACCACCCAAGGTGTCATCCTCATTTAGAGACTCAGACTTGTGGAATTTTGAGTTTTTAACTGCTCATTTATTTATGAAACAAGTCAAACATTCTCGAATCGCGCAAAATACAGATGGCGTTCCCTACGTTGTTAGCAGTAGTACATCTAACTGCTTCAGAACAAATCAATTGACACTATTAAGTAAATGTGGAACTAGTATTCTTTAGGCGCTCCTGCCCTATTTACAGTTTATAATTTATATCAAAGTCATACTATAGTAAGAGATTACACAAAAAATATAAAAACAAAAGTTATTAATTAAAGTATAGATTAATCAGTTCAAATGCCCCTTATTCTTATTACCTTGTTTTTATGAAGAGCATGTTCTTATTCTTTTAATACAATAGTTACCACCTGTAGTAAATACTTATAATGTTTTAAGTACCGTGCTGTCGATTTAAGCAGGCAGAACAAATAGGTAACTAACGAAAATGAATGAATATTTCACTGCACTTGTCCTGCAGAATGTCATTTAGTTGAAATCTTTCGGAACCAACGAAAGTCACGTTCCGGTCCTTTAAAAAGGTCTGAAATACGTGTTACTACAAGTGGTCGGAAGTATCGATTTGTATGGTAAACTATAGAAACCTAAAGTACCTAGGTATATCTACCTGTTAAATTGCACCTTCTTATGACAATGGTTATTTTGAGAAAACGACGGCCTTTCGGCACAGTACCTTCCATCCAGAATGACAATCCTGAACTAAATGTCTTCTTCACGGCATATTTTATATGTTATACTTTATTTTGAATGGATATTGAACAGTTGTGAAAATGATATTTATTTTAGAAAACAGAGAATACGAATACCTTTTAGACAAAGATTATTATCTATAACAGTCACTGCAAAAAAGTGGTGATACCACTTCAATTTAAATTTATTACAAATTTATTAATGTCATTCAATCTTTTCTCATTAGTTACATTAGATCTTAAGGTAGAAATCGCAAACAGCACATGACAAAAATTGTAGAAAGTACATTTGCCAAAAATAACAATTTCATTAATCTTCCAGTTTGTGGATTTGGTATTACAGCGTTAACCCAGTTGCAAATTCTCATACAGAGAATTAAGCCTTTCTTATATACTTTCTTTCTTCCTATTTCATTGTTTCTATGAGTTTCGCATTCGCCATTTCCTTATTTCGGTTACTAATATTATTTGTGTTTGTTGCAGGCTGTTAGACAGCATGAAAGCAAATGGACAGGGTGTCCATCAGCGTCAACCCGCCGGATTTGCCATCAGCGATATCCTGGAACTCAACGACAGGACTCCAGGTTTAGAAGCACCCCCTGAGGCAGCGTTATACCCGCCTTTATCGGAGCTTAGTCCGTCTCATACGCTCCTTCTACCTCCACCTCCCAGACATTGGCCGCAACCACCCCCAACGGAGCAAATAGGTAGTTTTTTAAATTCATACTTTTCACTCCCCATCTAAATAATTTCAATTCCTTCATTACGCATTTTATGCACTTACTTTTTAATATTTAAGGAAACTATTAGACATTCACATTCACATATAAAACCTATAACAATGTCTTTATATGTGGCCTTAATAGTTAAGTCTTTAGCTCATCATACGTTTGTGAGATTTCGTGTAACAAAAACCAAACTAGCAATCTGTCTATATTATATCCGAAAACATAAGAAAGTTTCGACAATGGCGGGTTGACAAATGATCTAGGGGCAGATGCGTGTTCATCTCACCGGTGTGTTAATAGAATAATAAGGGCGCAAACAGCTGCCACATCGCTTAGTTTTGCCACTATATATCTATACGTTACCACAGCTACCGGTGATCCTGCAGAAGGCGTGATCTTCGTTCTCGTGCAGGACCCCGTTTCCAAGCCAATCCCTGCGGTTAGCGTAGCCCTAATTTATACTTTAACGGGACGTGTCTAATGTGCATGGGATACAACGAAGGGCTCGATAACGGTAACGCTGTATATGTGGACAATGCGTTTTCACTTCGATACACTCTTTAGTTTAACTAAATCGATTCGTCAACTTTATTTATCGATCTCTATTATTTATTGAACGTAGATATATAAACTTTCATGGGATTGGAGTAAAATGGATCGTAAAAAGATTATTACCACCTTATTCTTCAGTGACTCAGGGGAGAAGCATCCAAGACTATACACTTTTCTATTTTAATAAAATCGTAGTCTCTTTAAAAAATCCTTTACAAAAATACGGTAATTTAACCAAAACCGGGAAATGTGTAATGTATTAGGTGGTTAGTTACTTATGAATACCCAAAATTACAAAAATTTTAAATAAGTTAGATTTATTTTTATGTAGTAAGTATTTGTTTTGTAAGCAGCCTAATTACTGCACTACACACCACTCACAAGAGAAGCTGCACTATTTCCCGAATAGTTAAATCAGTCTCTCTCATGCCACCGTTTCATCCCGTAATGGTCAAAAAGCAAATATTTTAATATTTTTAATTATTACATTTGTTGTGAATGAAAAATGAGAATCATAAATAATTCTATCAGTAGGTCACTTTTATATAGTTATTATAGGTATTACGTCATTAGTCAAAATACAATCCCGGTTTCACAAGAATTCTAAATATGATGAGAAATAAAAATCATTTATTCATCACTAGTTTCTTCTTCTGAAAGAATGATATATTCGCTGTTTGCAGTATTATTATTACGATCATTTATGTGCTGCAAAAAAAAAACTTCACACTTAAGTATTATATTCACTTTGTATTGTTAGGAATTATAACAAAATTTATATTATTCATTACGACGATGTTGCGTAAAATACATTAAATGTGGTAATGCAGGCTATTTTTATCTCTCAAAAGAAATCTTCAAAGTAATTTACAATTAATTTCTTTCACATAAACCCGGGAACAGTTGCTCTATGTTTAATAATTGCCATTAAAAATATTAAAAACACCGAAAGAAGTTTGTTGAATACTTTTACTTACTGGCTCTTTCACGAACTTAAAAAAATATCATGAACAATCATTGGCAGGATCATCATAATTTTTTTTAAATATCCCTTAATTTCTCTTGTACTTTCTCATCATATGGAAGTGACATGAAATGACACCTTCATTTTCCAATTTTTATTTTGAATGAACACTTAAAAATACAAACCTCCACAAACCACCCAAGGTGTCATCCTCATTTAGAGACTCAGACTTGTGGAATTTTGAGTTTTTAACTGCTCATTTATTTATGAAACAAGTCAAACATTCTCGAATCGCGCAAAATACAGATGGCGTTCCCTACGTTGTTAGCAGTAGTACATCTAACTGCTTCAGAACAAATCAATTGACACTATTAAGTAAATGTGGAACTAGTATTCTTTAGGCGCTCCTGCCCTATTTACAGTTTATAATTTATATCAAAGTCATACATTTAATTTTAACTATAGAAGATACATGATGTACATGCAGATAATTATTTTTCAAAAAATTGTGTTTTTAAATTATTACTCACTTCTGATAAATAAAATTTTATGATGTCTGCTTTGATTTTGTTAATTTCAAGTGAAGGTGAAGTGTAGATTTGTATCAACAGATAACAGTTAATAATTTCATAATACTACTTCATCACTTACTCTATTAAGGATGTAATAATAATCATCAACGTTTATTTGCGTTTTTCAGTTTATGTTTGTAATACTTTTATTAACTCAAGAAACAATTTAAAACAAGATTTTGAGATGACAAAAACCATAATTTATTTATAATGCGTAATACACATTAATAGGTTATAATACATATGTATATCATAACATTCATAATCAATTAAGCAGAAGATGTACAACATGCACTATTATTGTCACATACCAAGCAAATAAACTATAATTAAATTTTTCAAAAATAAGTATAGAATAATAAATAAATCGTTTATCTAGAAAAATTTAGTATTTGTTACTGTAAAATTCATGTTCTAATGGAGATTTTAAAACTTTAGGTAGCAAAAGATAATCCTGTTAATCAAATTAAAAGATCCCTTTTCTTTTCAGTTCCCATAACGCAACACCAGCAACTCAGTCCTGACAGTACAAGTCCAGCTCTTTCGGACAGATCTGTAGCCGAAGGATCTTCCGTCAGTCACACACGTTCATTAGAAGAGGGCGAGAATGGCGACGAATCGAATGATATGAATGAAAAACAACAAAACGGTTCTAATAGTAATAGCGGCCAAAAGAAAAGGAAAAGACGAGTTCTATTCTCCAAAGCACAGACGTACGAATTGGAAAGACGATTTAGACAACAAAGATACCTCACGGCACCCGAAAGAGAACATCTCGCATCCGTAATACGACTCACCCCCACACAAGTCAAAATTTGGTTTCAGAATCATAGGTAAGTGCTTGTAGATAGTAGACTACTTTTATAAATGTGGGTACACTGTACTACAGTAAAAGCTCTTTATTCGCGGGGTGTACGTTCTATAAATATGCCACGAATACAGAAATCGTGGATATGGAATGGTGATTAGTATGAAATAAGGGATACGTTCTAAGGTTCCAAAATAAAACTAATATATATCAAAATAAAATCAATATATTGAGAAATTCGCACTTAAAATTAATCGTTATAATCACCTTTAAACAAGGGTTTAAAAAATTTAATGATTTTTTTCTTGTTTTGAATTTTGAATTAGTTCACTCGGTTACATTTTCATAAAAGTCGCCTGGGCACGAGTCAGCAGTACTTAAAAGATGCAGATACGTTGAAAAATAACACCGAATCCTTTTCTGTTTACTCTCTTTCATCTTTTATAAAAGCTGCCAAAAGATACCGATACGTAATTAAAAACATGCTTATCGGTTCTAGATATCATGAATTTAATGTTTGAAACAGACGTTTGAAATTTTGTAGTAAGATAGATAAAGCTTTGTTCTAAAGCTTGTCGAAGGTCATTTTTAAATTTTTAATTTATATTGAAAATACGTGTCCTACAAGAAGCACTAAATTTAAGCACTTGTAAAAGCTTGTAATTACCATATTATTGAAAACCAAAAACGTATCGAGTTAGTGTGAACCTTTGTCTTTTACCATCCAAATAATCAGATATTTATCTCACAGCGTTCAATCACAATGTTTAGAAGAGGAACAAGATCGGTCTATTACGGTCAATCCCCTTAATAAATGACACCGAATCCTCTTCTGTTTACCGATTGCATCCGCGAATAATGAAATTTTTAACCGCTGATACAAAAACTAGGTTGCAATATGTTCACCCGCGAATAATGAAATCGCAAATAAGGAAACCGTAAATGAGGAACTTTTACTGTACCGAATTTAGTCCAAAAAAGAAAATTTTTCATGTTTTGTTCCTACCAGCTGTTAATGCTGGTGGGCGGGCAATTTCTTCAACCATACTCTAATGAAAGGCCGAAATATAGGGAGCAAGACCTTTAGCATCCTTTTAGGAATTGTGGGATTGGGTAGCTGCTAGTTATTAAGTAACTAAGCATACCACAGAACGCTTAAGAGTCAGACCAGGGAAAGTCGATCTGGAAATGAATCGGTATCCTCTCGAATACTAACAAAAGCCGTGATCTAAATCAAGACAGCAATAATAGTTGGAAATAAAATATGTACCTATAGAAAATTTTGGGAAAAATTTAAACAATTTCTATTGTTTCAATTTATACTTTAGGTACATTAAAGAACCTCATAAAAACCATCATTACTGGTTTCTTGTGTATTTGTAATTATTTGTAGGCTCTTTTATTTATTACCACCAGATATAATTTAAGACAGGCGCTTAAGTGAATATTTGAACAAAGATTTTGATTCGGGACAACTAGAATTGAAATGCCCCTCTTTCGACTATTCTTCTTATTAAAAGCAATGTTAAAGAGGGTGGGAGTAATCAGAATCTTATATTATTTATTCGAGGGAAAGCTATATCAGGTGCCCCTAACATTAAAGGGACTAATCAATTTCCAAATCCCCCTATTATGATAGGTATAACCATGAAGAAAATTTTAATAAAAGCGTGAGCAGTAACAATGACATTATAGATTTGGTCATTGCCAATTAAGACTCCTGGATTTCCTAATTCTGCTCGAATTAGTAATCTAAGAGCTGTTCCTACTATTCCTGATCAAGCTCCGAATCAGGTACAGCAATAATTATAGTAGTTGAAGTGAAATAGGCTCGGGTATCTACATCCATGCCTACTGTAAATATATGATGTGCTCATACAATAAATCCTAATAAACCAATTGCTAATATTGCATAAATTATACCTAAAGATCCAAAAGTTTCTTTTTTTCCTCTTTCTTGGCTAATAATAAGGGAAATTATACCAAATCCAGGGAGAATTAAAATGTAACTTCAGGGTGATCAAAAAATCAAAATAAATGTTGATAAAGAATAGGATCTCCTCCTCCAGCGGGGTCAAAAAATGATGTATTTAAATTTCGGTCTGTTAAAAGCATAGTGATTGCTCCTGTAAGAACAGGTAGGGATAAAAGAAGAAGAAGGGCTGTAATAGCAATAGACCAAACTAACAGAGGTGTTTGGTCTAAGGTTATCCCTATTGCTCGTATATTAATTACTGTTGTAATAAAATTAATTGCTCCTAAAATTGAGGAAATCCCGGCTAAATGAAGTCTAAAAATTGCTAAATCGACGGAACCTCCTCTATGGGCAATATTAGCTGCCAATGGTGGATTGGATTTTAATTTTAGGGATGTCTTTAGTTATGTAGGCAACTACCTTTGTTTCAAAACTTAAAATTATCTTTTAGGAATTCACTTTCTCTTGTCTAATATACCTTCAACAAATCTAACGACAATATTATCCATGAATGCCTTATCCGTAACGTTGTGTATCAGATACAGTTCCATTTTTTAATCTAGGCCATATGGCTTCTGCTCCACATTTTTTTTTAACTGTGATTACACAGCTAGCAAATAAATAGAACAACACAGTGATAAGAACAAACAACGAGTATGTTACGTATCTTACAAATGTATTCGGGTACAAATAATAATAATAATGATGATACGTGATGTTTGATATATTATTATTATTATCATTAAGGTGTTTGAATAATGTAATTCAATACCCGTCTGGACTTTACCGTTATCAATCGAGTATGTATCAATGTATGTACGTATGTATGTATATGTATATTTATATTTATTGTAGGTGGCTACAATTAGTAAAGTGTGTTTCATCATCCTGTAAGCAGGGCGGCGCGCGTTCCAATTTAATTATAATTACACAAATACAAATACGCATATGTACATAACAATTTATGTATATTAAATAATTCCGACATACATTTCTCGATCGATTGTACATAAATTGTAGCCGCCGACAGGTATCAGGTAACCAACCTAGATTTAAAGTGTTACAAGAAGAGGCCGTCCATCTATGCAACCACAGTAGCTACCTATGTTTTTACCGACATAATAATATATCTAATTATTGCATAAACACGTTGTCCGCAAATCACTTCAAAAATTATAGATCATAAAATATAAAGTAATTCTTAATAGACCCGCGTAAGCCGAGGCGCACGCCATCAGTGAAGTGAAACTTCTTTACGCACGGTAGGGTAAGTTCGTTTCATGCGAGTTGCTATTTAACGAAATCATGCAACGCATTTCCCCCGCTTCTGTCCCTATGTATGCCTAGATCTTTAAAACTACGCAACGGATGTTAATGCGGTTTTTTTTAATAGACAGAGTAATTCAAGAGGAAGGTTTATATGTATAATACATGCATAATATAGTAGAGAAACACTGATAATTTTAGAAGTTTGTAAAGTGATGTAAATAAACACATTTTTTTGCGCTTGCATTGCAAACGCTGGCTGATCCCTACGAGATAGATCAAAATAATGTACTACAGTATTATACACCTTAAAAGGGTCCACAAAAAAGTCCGCGATGGTATATGTCTATCTCTTAGGGATAACCCACAATAACCATTTTTTATCCTTTACTTTTTTTAATTTATTTTGTGGGAGACTTTACTCAATGAGTCATCGGGCGACATAAATTGTTTAGCACGCTGGCGCTCAAACGGTTAGCGGCGGGCCTGATTCTTAGTTATGTTACGTCTACTAATTTAAGCATCTTACAACTTCAGTAAAAGTAAAAATTACGTATGCAAATAAGGATACCTTTCGATGCGTCTTCAGTCGCTGAATAAACATGGTGTTGGGAAATTAAAACTAAAAAATCCCCACTATTCATAGATGGCAATACACTGCCTTCATTTAGATGTTATACAAACATTGGTTAAGATTCACAAAATCGCTAAATTGACACTGATACAGTCTGCAATGTATCATCATCACCATAAGGTCATCAGTCCTAAGACATGTTGGACACGCACCTCCATTCTTTCCTATTCTGAGCTAACCTTTGCTTTTCCCTAAAACTAGAACAACCCACATCATTAACAATTTCCGAACAGTAATCTAATCTAGGTCTACCTCTCCTCCTCTTAACTCCTGTTTGTGCCTCTAATATGTCTCTGACTAGAACTTCATGCCTGAGAAGGTGCCCTAAAAATGTATCTCACCTATTTCTTATTGGCTTCTGTAGAGTCTTCTGTTCTCCTATTCTTTCTAATACCTCTTCATTTCTAACCTTCTCTATCCACGATATCCTTATCATTCGCCTGTAACATCACATTTCAAACGCTTCTAAGCTTTTCTTTTTCGCCGCACCCACCTTTAACAATATTTTTCAAATTTCCAAATTGCTCGTTCGCGAGCATAGAAGTGACTTCTTTTCATGAAAGCAACTCAACCCTGCTTTATATCCCAACTACTCCTTCTGTCCTGACTTATCTGACTTCCTAGGTATCTAAAATCAGCCACTTCTAGTTATTCGTCTACTGTCTTTATATTCGCTCTTTCCCTTCTTTTTCTTCACTTGCATACCAGTATTTTTATTTTACTTTTAATTATTTTCGTACAATACTGTTTTGTCAATACCACTTCCATTTTATTTAAAGCTATTTCTAACTTCTCGTTGCTAGATGCTAATGCTGCTATATCTAATTATATATAACTGGAAATCTAAGCATACTAATCTTTTGTCCCTATAACTATCGCTACAGTTGCACTGTCTTTAATGATGTTGATCGCGCCTTCGATGTGTAAATTAAAAAGTAGCGGTGACAGTGTGCATCCCTGTCTGACTCCCTTCCTAATATTTACTTCTCTACGTTGCAGCCCCAGCTTTATAACTGCTTGTTGCTCTTTATACAAAATGAGTATCACTCTTCTATCTCTGTAGTTCATCCCTACATTTGTATGTATATATGTACATACATAAAAAATAAAAAGCTCGCTAGTAATTAGTTATATTGTTTTGAAGAAGAGAATCTATTAGCTAATAAAAAGATTTGGCTCAAAGCTTAAAAGCGAATCCACAGATTTGCTAGGTATTTGTTTATACATTGTAAACTCTTTATAACATAAGAATTTTAGAAGAATTTCTGTAAGGTTTTCAATGCTTTAATTCAATTTAATGTCTTTGTAACGGCTTTCGATATAACGTAATACTTCCTATAACGTAAAAATTAGATGAATTTTGTTGGTTTACCTTAACACCCATACATTTAGACACTCTTTATAGCATAACAGCTGTTCTCTAGAAGAAATAAGTTCATTTTTAGACTCCAATAAATACCTATATTTTATCAGCATTACTGTTTATGTTACCAATATACGAAAGGCTCTGTCTAAATCATTGAAGTGTCAAAATTTCTGAAAGAGAAACCCTGAGTTCGTAAACAACCGCTTTTCTTTAGTTAAATGAAAGAAAAACGTTAGTTGACAAAAAAGTGTGACACTTCACATAACGATAACTTTCTACAACAAAATAGAAATACTTGATGCATTGAGTTTCGTTATAAAGAGTTTATACTGTATTTACTGTATTTGCAAAGGCGTCGCCAGGCAATAGTCCAAGAGGGAAGAGGGAGTGATAGAATCATAGAGGATATGAGTAGTAGGTAATATAAATACAATTTGTAGTTTCAATCGTTTACTGCAAGTAAAAATATCTAAATTAAGACATTAAGTTCGTGGGTTTTTGGTAAATTTTTCAACTTTCGCTTTCACGTTTTTTTTTTCCTTATTTCTAGATATAAAACAAAGCGAGCGGCCCACGAAAACGGCCTTCATGATCAACAGGGCAAGAACGCGTTACCGTCACCGAGACGCGTCGCGGTGCCGGTATTAGTAAGAGATGGAAAACCCTGTTTAAGCGCTGGCGCCGGGGGTGTTCCTGTTAGTAAACCGCCGGAAGGACTTAACTTTTCGGCAGCCGCAGCAGCCGCCGCGGCCAGCCACATGGGTCACCTCTCTTATTCACATCCTCTAGTCCACAGTCAACCTCGAGTCTGGTTTGGCTAATGTTACTTACTACCTGTATATTACGTGTAATTTGTAGGTAAATTATCTAATAAGAATTTTATGTACTATGTACGTTAACGATATATAAATATATATATATAGAATGATTTAGAAATTTAAAAATTCGCAGCAGTTTTCCACCCGGTGTACTTCTCTTTTACGGTTGGTTACGCAAATATATAAGTACATAAATACAACGCAAAAAATATACCTAGCTTTCGTTTTCTTTTTAAATATGTTCTTGCTCGAATTTCTAAAATGCTTATGTTCCTTTTCAAAATTAAAATAAAATAATTAACTTCGTACAAACTATTTTGTTAGTAATATTTATTAAAAAGAAAATTATGTTAGCGCCTGTTCAACTGGGCCAAGAGGTCAACGTAGAAAACGGTTTTATCAAATCAGGTCATTAGTGGAGTATGCTGTTTTTGACCAAGTTTGCAATGTAAATTAACAAAATGCAATATCATTAAATACGTATTACAACCAACAACTTTATCACTGCAAAATTTCCTCGACCTTTGTAACATATTATTTACCACCCATAACTATGTAGGTATAATTAATTTATTATGTTAGGAAATAATCGAATCAAAAAGAAAAATTCACTTCCTAAAAAATAATATAATTAATTCAACTTTTGTGTTATAACACAAAAGTCGTATTTAGATTTTATTATGTCTGCCGTTGTTTTAAATAATTTTTAAATCTACCGTGTGTTGTGATATTAGATTGTACCGAATAGTCGACCTTTGTATTTCTTTTGTCTAAGTTTGCTAATATAGTTAAGTGGTAATTTTGTAATAGCACCGGACAAAAGCGGGGGTGTGCAACTGCCTGATGTTAAAGAAAAATATACATTTAAAAACAATATTTGATTTTATTTGCTTCATTCCCGAAACCTCTTTTATTTGTTTCAAAAATAAATGAAACTACTGAACAATTTTGCCTATAGGTATTAGGTACCTGTACAGAGAGACAATTATTGTCAGTTCATTATCAAATCGATTTTCGTTTGAATTACAAACACAGTAGATTAAGTACCTGATCAATAATATGGATTTATTAATTTAATATTTCATAAAAGTAAGTAAAAAAGGGAATAAACGCCATTTACTTGCTTGTCGCATTTTAATGTCTATCTACACTAAAAGTTATCAGAATTTACCTTGAAATGATAACGATTTATATGTACGTGTACATATGCATTTGTGATGCATAAAATGAAAAAAGCAGAGCAAAGTAGAAAATGTACCAGAAAAGATCATGAAAAAATGTGTAAGGGTATTTTGAAGGATTTACATAGGTATATAGATTATTGACGACTTTATGATGATGACATAGGTTGTTATTCCTTTATGGGTAAGCCTTTAAACCACATTTCACTTTCTATGCTTTTTTGAACGTTTTATTCTAATAAAAAATATTTAAAAGTTTTACTAGCAGTCTTAAAAAGGTTGCTGTTATACAATCTATGTGCGTGTTATGCACCTATATACATATGTAAAGATATAATATCATTTCCACGGTAAAAAATCGAAGTAAACAATAAAATCAATTAAGCTCTAGAAAAAAATGCCCAGGTTCTGGCAGCAACTAAACTGATAGCAGGACGATAACCGTAGAAAACACGCATACATAACCATCTATTATCGTCAGAGCTATCTTTGTATTTACTATGTTTGTATGTATATCAACGCAAAACACATCGATATCAACAAAATTTTGCCCTTATCATCGTTCTCTATTTAGTTTAGTAGACTTATATATTATATCCCTTCGATTACATGTAATAAATACGATGTTATCACGTTAATATTGCTATATAAAAGTGCAGCACTTGATTATTTTATAATACCCTAAAATAGTGATTATACCATTCATGCAGGCTTAAAAAATTCAGTCAACTTAAATTTTTTATTGCACTTATCGTAAGTCATAGGAACCGTGACATTCAATCGGTTTGAAAAAATAATATTGTACTTAATCAAGCTGTTTTAGAATTATTAAATCATTTGTGCAAGACTATTTTATAATTTTTTTCTAATAATTCACCTCAGCATGCAGAATTTTTAGTTAGTTTTACTGCACAATACGTTGTATGATTGTAATCTAAATCTAAACATATATATATACTCCTACTAACTAACCCGTTGGGGTGGTAAATACCTCTTGGCCCCCTCTTGAAAGTAAGGGAGTTTGGTCGCGATGGGTGGAAGTGGGTGATTGTGAGTGGCGAAAATGTGAAAACATAACTTATGAGACCTTTTAAAAAGTTCTAAAAATTTCTGAAATGATCCAGAAAACTGTAGAATGTGTGCAACTGTTACAATCGATCCAGAATGTTCTAGAAGGTTCTCAAAAATTTCTGGAATGATCTAGAAAGTTCCGAATTGTGTGCAACTGTTAAAATCGATATGCAATGTTCCAGAAAGTTCTAGAAATGTCTGGAATGATCTCGAAAGTTCCAAATGTCCGCAATTAATTATCAAGGATTTGTAGAATTTTCTAGATTTTGTCCAAATATTCTAGAATATTCTAGAACGATCTACTATTATTAAGAAATTTAATAAAGGTACCGGGTGGTCTGTCATTGTCGGGAATAATTTTGTGTTCTGCAATAATCTAGAACGATTGAAAACACCGATTTCCTGGGCGATGATCAAAGTTAACAAATTGGTTTAACTGAATTTAGCCTATCACGTGCCCTATTTTGAATAATAGCGGAACTTGATTGGCTCTAATCAGTTTAACCAAATTGTTAACGTTGATCAGCGCCCAGAAAACCGGGGGTAAGTCTGTCAATATCTAAGATAGAAATCTATATTATCTACGTTAAAAAGTGGGTCCTTAAATATTTTATATACCATTAAACATGCGATGTATTTTAACCCGAGCAACGCCGGGTTTCGCTGCTAGTTTAAAATATAAAAGAATCTTGGGTTAGCTGATAGATTTGATGGTGCTCAAATGGCTACATATTTTTTACATACTCTGTAGTAGGGATGCACCCGAGTGATTTTACCTGGTACCGGATAACCTGAAAACTACGGTGAATGGTCCAGGTTTTCGTTCTGGCAGGCTTTCCATTAAATACCACCCTTACCAACCTCCAAAACCAAATTAAGTCCCCTTCAAAAAGTCGTTTACACACTAAACCAATGAAATTTTAATTATTGGGTAATTGCCCAGAATTGGGGCTCCAGACCAAAATCGCTCCAACAATTTTTTCGTCGATTTCCGGTCATTCTACATAATAGAATTAGGTATTAGAAAGTGGGGGAGACATTAAATGACTTATATACTTTATTCTCAGAAAGCACTAGTTTTATACATTTCCTAGTACAATATCGGAATTTCATAGTATTCCTAGAATTGGGACTCCAGACCAACAGGATCCAAAGTTTTTTTTATCATTTCTGGTCATGTCAGCATACATCATATGGTATATAGTGTCTGTATAGCTATTTCTTCTTTTAATATTAATAAAAGAATTTTATTGACAATCGTGAGATAAGGAGATTAGAAGCTTGTATAACTTTAAACAACCCCCGTTCTGCCCCTGATCTCCACACCCATCTCGTCTCGTACCTACAGTTTAGAACTGCGATTTGAATTTTAAAAAAATTTCATTCAAAAAATCTTTTTTTATGAAGTCATAAAAAACTGTCCCCCACTTTCTAATATCTAATTCTATTTTCAACGAGAGAGAAAAGAAATTAATAAATTAAATTATCAGTAATCAAAATCTGGCATGTCACCAAGCGACAGAAATTGTAACAGTTGTGTTACAATTTGTAACAAATTTTCATGAGGCAGCTTTTTTGTTCATCGCCCCGTAGAAAATTTTGTGTTACCAAGAGCCTTCTTCAGAAGTCCAAAGATATGGTTATCACTTGGAGCGAGGTCCGGCGATTAAGGCAGATGTGAAAGACCGTACACTTGTCACAACTATTTTGAATTTCTTTTGCCACTCTTACACTTGCAATGATGAGCAGTTCTCCCCATACTGTTTTTACATTCTTTAATGGATAACAATTAGTTTTTCAACTTTGATAGATACTCAAAAAACGTATCACTTAATCCTGCTGTCTGTATTGATGAGATGAGCACGGGCCGTGTGCGATACAAGTGTTATGCGAGATACGTACGTTTCTCGTTTCGTAGACGTCGAAATCACACTGTAACGAGCCACGTACGACTCTCGCGGAAGATTGTTGTTAACTCTTTAAATAAGTGACATGTGCTTTGGTATGCCCAAAAGTCGGAATATGTTTTCGAATTTCACAAATGCAGATTTAGCTGTAGCAGCGTTAGCTTTAGACGAATAGGAAAAATGTGAAAGAAGTAAAAAATCAAAGAAAAGAAAAATTTAGTTTTTATAGTGTCTGGAAAAATAGATCTACACAGGGAGAAGCTTTTTGACAACCATTTTCACTCTATAATACAGCAAACAACATTATTTCAGTAAAAATCAATAAAAACGAAATGTGTGCTGGGACACATAGTAGAAGTGAAATTTCAACGGACAAAAAAATTTTTACTTCAAGTTATACGGAAAGATTGTTAATGTACTTGTACAATTTGAAAACCATTCGTTTTTCTACTTGTTCGTTGAAGTTTCACTTCTACTGTGTGTCCCAGCACACATTTCGTTTTCACAGGTTTACTGCAAATTATGATTTGGTTTTTACACAAACTGCAAATAGAGGCAATGATGCCCAGCCACGTGGAGAACAGAGGTAAGAAAACAACAGCTGAGCACAGTACACGCCGCCGAGACTGTAAAGGATACCCCTCTCTCCGCCTCGGCGCCAGCATTTCTCTACCTCCGCCGCTTCCGCCTCTCACCACGCGATATACCGTCTACCTCCTCCAAGCGGCTGTAACGCTTTTTGGTGAAGAAGATGTAAGAAAACAACAACTGAGCACAGCACACGTCGCCGAGACTCTAAAGGACTCCCCTCTCTTCGCCGCCGCCAGCATTTCTCTACCTCCACCGCTCCCGCCTCTCACCACGCGGTATACCGTCTACCTCCTCCAAGCGGCTGTAACGCTTTTTCGTGACAGAAAAAATCGTAATACCCCGTATATAGAAGTTTCACTTCAAAAAAATATTAATTAATTATCATCAAAAGTATACTTATCACAGAGTAAAATAATAAGTATGTGACAACGTTACGATCTTCCACAAAACTGTACTAGAACGTGGGAACGTGCACGAGACGAGTCCGAGAAAATTTAAACAAAACTCGTCGACCATCGAGACTCGTACGACACCCGTGCCCGTTCCGCGCCCGTCACGTTGATGTAGGGTTGCATACATTACAACCTGTACAATTACTTCGAAATGGGAGTAGTACGTATCTCTTATATGTCGCCAATGTGTGCCCAGACCTTTGTCATCTTTGCTGTAGTGTGCTGACAACACAACCCCCGTGATGTTTGCGGACAAAACATCTTGTAGCGACCACGAGCGTGATTGCGTGCTATCGGGCATACGTGTGTGTGAGCGGCTTATCGATTCGCCGACTAGCCGCGGGCGCTTTTCTTCATGTGCGCCGTATCTGTAAACGTGTGTGTCGTACCTGCGTTCCGGGAAAGCAATTAAACCGTTCAAAGAAAACGAGACTTCTCTGGAAGGCTGAAGAACGTTCCCGAAAGGAGGCAAGGGAGTATAAAAAGGAAGAGACGATCGCCGAAG